CCATTAGGCTGGTGTCAGAGTCCGCGATCCGTCGCAGGTTCGATCAATACTGCAAGTGTTCTCGCCGCCACTTCTGCTTGATAGTGATGGCTGAATGACGACTGCTCATGATTCCACTTGTTTCATATTCAGTGTTTCAAATGTTCAAATGGGGCACTTGCAATTTTTGCGATCCGTCGCAGGTTTCGCGCAAATCGCGCAAATCGCCAATCGCGAAAATCAGCGAAACCTGCGACGGATCGCGGACTCTGGCACAAGCCTTATACCCTAACGATTGTGCCTGAATGCATCAAAATGAGGAATTTGTTGAAAAATTCAAATTCACCTCGTCAGGTAAAGAATTTCTCAAATGTTGCAGCTCTTGATCTGTTGTACCGTTAGGCACAAGCAAACCATGTCGATTTCCTTAACAAAACACTAAACATGAGACATTAGAAGAACACTGGCACATCAGAACCAGACTTACCTACGGTTACTCGACCAACAATACGAGTGGAAGAAATTGATGTATGCACAACTGGAATGATTTCTGAAAGCTCTGCCTCTACTGTGCTGAAAAAGAATCAATAAAAAATACGCTACCGAAATTAGAGGAATAAAAAGAAAGAGAGTCTCATAAACTTCGTACATTTCAATCTCAACGCGTACCTGTAGAAATTTTGAGTTCCACCTATTCCAACAAGACAGTAACTGTTGGTCAAAGTACAAAATACTCCAACGTCATTGCTACCTTCATAGTCAACTCGAAGCGCCATTCTTGCGACGGAAACTCTGAACATACATTTATGCCAAAGTAGAATGCAGAGCCGCGACCATAAAATGAACATCGTTTGTAATTCGAGCGTAATGTAAATGTGGGGTTTATCCGAATAAGGTAGGAGGCATGGTGCGATAGTTCTTGTAGCCAAATTTGCAGGAGGACGGTGCCTTGGGTGTGTGAGCAGATTCGCCAGCTCTTCTACTTACATCGAAACCTTGTTCTTGCAAAAATTGAGATTGCGTAGGAGGCACGACTGATTGCAAGACATGCCCCCCCATTGGCCGATGTCAGACTTTGCGATTGGAGCGATTTTGCGCCAATTGCAGGAGCGACGGATCGCTCCAAAGTGCGAGCGACGGGAGA